TTTCTTTACTTCGGGGTTGTTCTTGACCTCAGTTTCCTCAATGGTATGCTAAGTTGACCTTATGCATAGAGTCAGTGTAGAATAATTACTTTTTTTTTTTTTAAATAGGCTCCACACCCAGCATGGAACCCAACATGGGGCTTGAACTCATGACCCTGAGATCAAGACCTGAGCTGAGATCAAGAGTCGGACACCATCCAGGTGTCCCTAGAATAATTACTTTAATCAGACAGATTTTGTTGAATAAAGATGGAGCTGCCATCATTAATTAGTCTTTGTTTCATATTACTGATGAAATATTGAAACATTTAATTGGCAGGTTTGGCTCTTGGCCAGTGTATCCCCAAATGTATTTTACCAAGTTTGTGTTACTAAGTCTGTATTAAATAGGAAAAAGAATTTAATGATCAAATTAGTTTGAGAAACACCTGGTTAAACAAAGTTAAGCAGGTTTTCTACTATAGAACTCCTTGGAGTCTTCAATATCCTAATATACATTATATAACTTCAAGAGAGATGTTAGATTCATTCTGTCTCTAAATTATTTGACCATAGAATGCTTTTTTTCCTCAGAACATTCCACAGGACTAGTGTTTCTCAGGTCACTAGATTGGTAGGTATATCTAAGCCAAGTGGTATGATATACAACAAAAAAGAGGTCAAAAAAACTGAATCCAAGAATCCATAGTGATATACTAAAATGTCACTAAAAATGAGGGGGAGTAGCCATTTTTTTAATAGGAGGATCTAGTTAGTAAATATAGAAAGACATAGAATCAAGAAGTCATCATTTTACAATTTTTCACATAAAAGTGGAATCAGGCAAGGATCAACAATGTTAAGACCATTGGGTAAAAATGTTATAGGGAAATGGGACTTTCACATGGTCTCAATGTATTATTCCACAAAGCACTTCTTAATTGTTAAGAGAAAGAGTTAGCTTTTCAATGGAAAGATCTAGCTGACACGAACTAAACCAAGAGATCAAACTTCGCACCCCCTAGAGTGGGATGAAACCCATCATGGGCCCTTGCTGTGAGGCAACGGGAAGTACCCCATGTCACCTGTATGGTGTTCTTGCCACAAACATCCTGAACCTAATCATGGGAAAGCAATCAGACAAATCTGCATTGTGAGACATTCCACAAGAATAGGTCTGGATATTTCAAAAACATTTGTCTCAAAAGACAAAAATAGTAGAGTGAGGATGAGGTGCTGTTCTACATTTAAGGAGACTAGAGAGATATTTTTAAGAAGAAAAGAATGGAAACAATGCCTCAACATCTTCCCTGCCTCCTTGTTCTTCACAGGTACAATGTGGTCCCATTAGCAAAAATTGATTGCATATAGGAAGCCTCAAAAAAAAAAAAAAAAAGGAATATGGGGCTCCACCCCCAAGGGAATGCATCAAAATCTATGTGTGGGTATGTGTAGAAAAAGCTGGTCTTTCCCCTGATCTGGAAATTCAGAAATCTTCTTCCATTGCAGATTGTACTCTACCCCTTTCCTGCTGAGAATCACTGAATTAGGTCGGAGCTTTTCCTTTAACGTAAGTGATGCTCATAACACTCACTGCTCAAATTGTTCAACTTTCACCACCCTTATGGGTGACCAATACAAACAAAATATGGCCCGGGGTACTGCTGCCCAGTGATAAAAGAGCAAATACGGAATTATGGAGTTTACCCTGTGAACCCCAATGAAAGATTTAAGATAGACATCAAATGTCCTCTTAAACCAACTCAAAATTTCATTATTCTTCCTCCCTCCCTCCCCTCCCTCCTTCCCTTCTTCCCTCCCCCACTTCCTTTTGTCTCATTTGCCACTGATGTGGGAAACAAAGGCAGAAGAAAAATTATTAAATGTCCTTACTACCTACAGCCCATTGACAAGTCCTTGAAACAGGCAGAGTGACCTTCCTCTAGGGACTCAACTGCCTGAATGTTAATACTTTGCCAAGGGCAAAAGGCAATCCTAGCCTGAGCCCGCACCCCCCTCAACCAGGATCCTGTAAGTCTACTTTAACATATAAAAATTCCTTTGGAAACTTCCTTTATCTCTAAACCCCCCAAGATACATGTTGGCAACATCCCCAAGCATATGACCCCCCAATATACATCTGAGTTTCTACTAAACAGTAATAAATGAACTTTCCTAACAACAGCTAGCCCCCTCAGGATCCTGGAAACCTTGTTTCCAAAATACCTGGAAGGCTTACACTATCCCCAACCCCCTCCCGACTTGAAAGTATATAATGGGCCACTCCTCATGACCCCATTGCAGCTCTTCCTGCCCATGGGTCCTGTCCCCATGCTTTAATAAAGTCACCTTTTTGCACCAAAGACATCTCAGGAATTCTTTCTTGGCCGACGGCTTCGAACCCTAATGTCTTTCCTACATCACCACCAGTATCTTCCATGGACCCACGCAGCTGGATTTGCTCCACATCCTAAATCCAGACAATTGCTATTTAAGTCATTAACAGTATTTCCTTTTGAGAATGATTTTGGGCCGGTGGTTGCTCTGGTGGTTTTTTCTAGTAATAAATTAGTTCACTTTAGCATCTCCAGGAGTTTTCATTCACCACTCAGGGACATGTGATTTACAACTAAAACAAAACAAACTAAAAATTTTCTACACTCCTTTCATTCACTCACACAGCTAGTATTTCATTGTATAATTGTGTTAAATGACAAACCTTTTGTTGTTGCTGTTGTCGCAAATATCACGGGCAACAAAACCAATTTCTTGTCATTAACTTTAAACCAGGACCAGTAATTAATGTTTATCCTGGTGTCTGTCAGGACTTCTCTGTCTGTGTCTCCTGAAGCTGCCATGTCATGGTCTGGGGGCAGGTAGGAAAGAAGTCCACATCCCATAGGCAGGATTGGCTCGGATGCTAGAACCTGGCTGGGGAACCAGGGCAGATGCTTCTTGGGATTCAAGGGTGGGGCTTTGGATGATAAGGCCTGGTAGGAGTGCTCGATGCGAAATGACATACTAAGAAGTGGGAAACCCTAACAGAGTGGCCAGCCTTCTCATCACTCCTGGAAGGCACTCCGAAGAGTAGAGAAAGAATACATCTTTTCTTCTTGTTTTATTGTATCTGCAGAATTCCTAATGCTCCTCCAAGATGATTGTGTCCTCTTTTCTTTCTTCCTACAATGACTTATCAGCCTTGGTCCTGAACAAATACCGTCTGACATTTTAGCACATCAGTGGCTTAGAAAAATATAATTAAAGGTAAAATGTACTAGAATTGAACAATATAGATAGCCTCGTTACTCACTTTTAATTACATTTGGATGGATCCTCCGTTGCCATGGAAACTCTCTCCTTGGGAAATTTTGGAGGCAGGGATCTGCTCTACGTTTCACAGTTCTGGATCTTAAAGAAATTTCTTGTTCTATTTAGAAGTTTAGAAGCGATGCTGCCACCTTCCACTGTGGTATCATGCAAAGTTAGCTGTTGTAGTTGCTCGAAACAGTCAATATAAAAGGCATTGTTTGTTTTTCACTGTTACAAGTTGTTACGAATTCTTTCTATATGGAACTGTTTTCCTTATTGTGTATAGGTTAGTAGATTCATTAAACTTCTATGTCCAATATGGCAGCCATTAGCCACACCTGCATGTAGCTATTTAAATTTATGTTAATTAAAATTAAATAAAGTTAAAGTACAATTCTTTAAAGTACAAGTAGAACTACTTGAATTTCAAGTCACGTTGGCCACATTTTAAGTACTCAATAGTCATGGGTAGTCAATGGCTATGTATTAGGCCGGATAGATAGAGACCATTTCCATCATAGCAGAAAGTTCTATTCAACGACCCTACATTACAGTAACAATTGTTTGTACCAGACCTGTTCAGTTTTCTTTGCTCAGAAACAGTGAGAGTCTAAGAACACATATGCAAGGCTCATTTCATGGGCTTGCAATCTGTGTAGTCATAAAGGGACCTGCACTTAAGAAGGACTCCATGCTTGGTTTAATGCTCTGTTGCCACGATCTTGCAACTCTTAATACTTTTGAACAAGGGACTCAGCACTTACCCACCAGGTTTCTCAACTATGTAGCCAGTCCTGCATATATGAGATGGAGCTTGGATGTTGAATTGTTTCCCTTCCCTGGAGATTGGTTCATTTTCAGCCTCCTCCCCTATAGTCCTTAGAGAGTGAGGGGGATCAGCTGACCCATCAGGTAAAATTCAGGTGCCTGCAAACGTTTAAGGCATCTCATCAGAGACCCTAATAGGGGATTCAGCTTTTTTTTTTTTTTAAGATTTTATTTTTGGGGCGCCTGGGTGGCTCAGTTGGTTAAGCAACTGCCTTCGGCTCAGGTCATGATCCTGGAGTCCCTGGATCGAGTCCCGCATCGGGCTCCCGGCTCGGTGGGGAGTCTGTTTCTCCCTCTGACCCTCCCCCCTCTCATGTGCTCTCTCTCTCTCATTCTCTCTGTCTCAAATAAATTAAAAAAAAAAATTAAAAAAAAAAAAGATTTTATTTTTAAGTTATCTCTATACGCAACATGGGACTTGAACTCGCAATCCCAAGATCAAGAGTTGCACGCAGTACTGACTGAGCCAACCAGGTGCCCCTGGGATTCAGCGTTAAATATATCCCTTCACAGGAATGCTAGAAGCCTAAAGCTGTGTCCCAGCACCTCCAACATTAAGAGAAAGCTGGGTTCTCTTTTGAACAGGTGTTTTCTAATATGGATTCTGAGTTGCCCACAGTGGAATTTCCTTCCCTTCAACAGCCTTGCCAATGCTCCTGTTAAAGCTTGAGCCTGGTTACTTTCACTCCTCAGCCACTCATTCCTTTATTCTCACAATCATTCATTCAACAACTATGAAGCATCTATTATATACGAGACACTGTTACAGATCTGAATAAAAAATTATAGGACACAGACCTACCGTTGCCATCTGGTAAATTATGTGCTGCAATTAACCCAACACTAACAGCAGATACCGGACGACAGTAAAATCATATGCAGTCTGAGTATCATCAAAGATTTATTAGCTGCTTTCCATGTTTCCATGGTCACATTAAAACAAAAACAGTAAAAACATGTAGCAATGAATGTAGCAACATTCTGACTGATTCATGTACTGTGTTATGAAGTTTTCCTCCAGACGAAATCTTGGTTGGATTTTTTTTTCTCAAAAATACGTACCTACCAGAAAAAGAAAGAATAGCACAGGTAATAATAGTGTTAGTAATCATACAGTAAATACCCCAAGTCATTTTCACTTGCTTCTGGAATTCACTGCATGACATGCTTTTCTGAAAACTCTGATTCCTAATTATGCTTGAGTTAAACTAACATTGCACTGCTGTTGCATTTGGGAGCTTATATGATCCAGGTATGTACCAGAAGGCAGAGGGAAGACAGTATGTAATTAAACTGGCCAAAAAAAATTTGCAAAGCCAGAGACATTCATGCTGAGAATTTAACTGTCATTTTAAAAAGTATTATACTCTCCTTTGATATCTTGGGGGGCTTGCAAGAATTCATACCACATAAATTGACTAGGAAATAAGAGCAAAGGGAATATAAAATAAAAAAAATTAGAAAACAACAAGGGTACACTTACTATTCATAATGCGTGCCAGATGGTCCTATGTTTCTAAGAGCTGAGCTCTTCTTCATACTTGATTCTGAGTTCCCTGGAAGCCCAAGTCAAGAGGAAAACAAAACTATAGGATTTGAAATGTCCTTGAGTTGAAAAATAACCAGCTCTGGAGATTCGTTCCACATATTTCTGTGGATCCCCATACAGGGCACACTGTATGATGTAGCAAATGATACCATCAACTACATAGTGGGGACTATTCTGTTGTTAGTCTTGTGATCCCCGCCACTCATTTATTCTTTTCGATAATTTTCTGGGTTTTCAGTAAAGGGGCAGATTTTGAAATAATCCTATTTAGAGTATTACAGAAAGATGAGGGTTTATGTTACTTTCAGGCATAGCAATATTACCAATTGATGGCAAATGAACTGTTTAAAATGAGATGCATGAAGAAAGGACCCTCGTGATGTGCCTCAGAATGTAGAGGTCAGGCTATTTAATAGAAAGACCCTTCTCAGATCTCTCATTATAAGGAAAATGTGTGTGCTGAAAGTGCAGGAATAGAAGAAACAGGAGAGAAAGCAAGACAGATGAAGGAGCAGAGAATTGTCCTGAGGAATTAACCCTGCTGGATTCAGAATCCTACACCATGACACGGAGGATGTCCCTTAGAAGATGCTAGACATTCAATGGAGGCAGAGCTGGAGTCCATGGGCTCTCTGGGCATGGCATCGGGGTAGTGTTTGGGGTTATTAAGTCTATACAGACTATGTGTGTGTTTGCTTTCTTTATTATTTCAATATAATTGACATATAACATTATATGTTTCTTACATTCTGGTAAGAGACATAATTTTTAGAGCAGTTTTAGGTTCACAGAAAAAATGAGCAGAAGTATAGAGAGTTCCCATATACTCCTTGCCCCCGACACATGCACGGCCTCCCCCAGTATCAACATCCCCCACTAGAGTGGTGCATTTGTTACAATCAATGAACCTATGTTAACATGTCATTATCACCTAGAACCCATAGTTTACAATAGGGTTCACCCTTGATATTGTACATCCTGCGGTTTTGATAAATGTATAATGACATGTATTCACCACTATAAGCCCATATTTTTTTAATTGAGGTATAATTGGCATATAACAGTCTATTAGTCTCAGGTGTATAACAATGATTCGCTATTTGCATCTATTGCAAAGGGATCATCACAATAACTCTAGTTCACATTTGTCACTGTACAGAGCTACAAATTTTTTTTTCTTGTGGTGAGAACTTTCAAAATCGACTCTCTTAGTAACATTCAAATATGTAATATAGTGTCATTAACCACAATCAAATGCCATACATTACATCCCTGACTTACTTATTTTATAACTGGGAGTTTGTATCTTTCAGCCGCCTTCACCCATTTCATCCACCCCCACCCCTGGTCTCTATCTGGCAACTGACAATCTGTTCTCTGTATTTATCAGCTTTTTTTTTTAAGACTCCACATATAAGTGATAGCATATGGTATTTGTCTTTCTCTGACTGATCTCACTTAGTATAATGCGCCCTCAAAGTCCATCCGTGTTGTCACAAATGGCAAGATTTCATTCTTTTTATGGCTGAATAATATTCCATTATATATATTCCATATATATAAATATTCCATAAATAGGTATATATATATTATACACACACACATATATACACACGCATATACCTGCATCACATTTTCTTTATCCATTCATCCATTGATAGACAAGCCTATATATTTTTATCTTCAGAAAATCACAGTTCCTGGGACACCTGGGTGGCTCAGTCGGTTAAACGTCTGCCTTTGACTCAGGTCATGATCTCAGGATCCTGGGATGGAGCCCCACATTAGGCTCCCTGTTCAGCGGGGAGTCTGCTTCTCCTTCTCCCTACTTGTGCTCTCTCTCTGGCAAATAAAATCTTTTTTAAAAATTTTAAAAAGTATATATATATATATATAAAAGAAAATCACAGTTCCTTATAGTCATGTGGCTAGACTTGACCATGATGTCATCAAGAGCTCCAGATACAAGAACAGCCAGAACCAAGTCCTCTTGCTGTGCAGCAGAAATCTGTGGGTTCTAAGGCACTGGAGTGAGATAGATGGTGGGCTTTCAGTTCAAGAGATTTTTCCTGATTAACTCCAAGTTTGACTTTCTCTAGTCCAGGTCTGGAAAACTACACATTCTAGTGGGAGGTGAAAATAGTATGTATAATGAAAAATAATGGAGTGTGGGATAAATTTAATTAGGAAAGGCCAATTATAATTTTACCTCAGAAGACTGAGATGCTTAAGGAAGTGAATTGAATCTTAAAGTTAATTAGGCAATAATATATTGTACCATTTGTTAAAAATCTTTCTAAAATTTATGTGTTCAATTTCAGAGTTACAATAGCAATAAGTTTTTAGGTCCATATACCTGTTTCCAATTCCTCATTAAATTGGCCATGAAAATACTGAAAACTAAAAACTGACAAAGTGCCAAAGTCAAATAAATAAAATTAAAAATTAAAAAAAATAAATAAAAGTGCCAAAGTCAAGGTGGGATTTCTACTAACTGCATTATCCCCATATTTTACCACAATTTAACACACACACACACACACACTCACCCCCACATTAACCTGAAGGCAAGATACTAGAAATAATTCCATGACAGTAAAGGAAAAAAAAAAATGTTTCTTATAACTACTGTCTCATCAATATTTAACACTGTTCTAGAAGTTTTATTCAATGACATAGAAAAAGATAGATAAAAAACAGAAATTAGGAGCGGCGCCTGGGCGGCTCTATTGGTTAAGCCTTTGACTCTTGATTTCAGCTCAGGTCATGATCTCAGGGTCGTGAGATCGAGCCCCGTGACCAGCTCTGCACTCAGCTTGGAGGCTGCTTGAAATTCTCTCTCCCTCGCCCTCTGCCCCTCCCCCCTCAAAATAAATAAATTTTAAAAATCCTAAAAAAAAAATAATAGAAACTAGAAGAAAAAAATGTCACAGGTACACAATTGTCTATTTGGAAAACCTTAGCAAATGAGTTAGAAAACTATTATAATAATTATAATAAAAAGGAACACAAATATACACAATTTAATGTTAACTATAGTCAATCAAAATATAATAAAGAAAAGAGCCCATTCATTAAAAAAAAAGCAGGCGGGGCACCTGGGTGGCTCAGTCATTAAGCATCTGCCTTCGGCTCAGGTCATGGTCCCATGGTCCTGGGATCAAGCCCTGCATCGGGCTCCCTGCTCCACGGGAAGCCTGCTTCTCCCTCTCCCACTCCCCCTGCTTGTGTTCCTGCTCTCGCTGTGTCTCTCTCTGTCAATAAATAAATAAAATCTTAAAAAAAAAAAAGAAAAGCAAGCAAACCAAAGCACCTAAACAGGGGAGGTGATGAAGCTATGCTGAAGGAAACCACAAAGCTAAATGAAGGACCTGAGAAAAGTCTTGCTGTGACGTTGCTGAAAAATTCAGTACTGTGAATACATTACATTTCTTAAATGCAGTGTATACCCTTAATGCAACATCAGTCAAAATGCCAATTTTGAGAGAATTGATAAAATGATTATATAGCTCATCTGGAAAACAAATGGAAAGGAAGAGATCGGAACCTTTTAACAATGTAGAGAAATGTTGAGGGACAGCGAATCTTGGGTGCCTGATCTTGAAGTATCTGCTGAAAAATAAATAAAATGTTATTTGTTTTGGACTCAGACCTGGTTGAAACTGTACCGACTACTAGTTGGGTTATCTTGGGTAAGTGGCTAAACTTCTCTGAGATAATTTTTTTCATCTTGAAAATTATTATATACATATATATGTAAACAAAGGGTGGTTAGAATTAAGGGATCATTTTATTTCTTAGCACAATAGCTACCACATATTCTCTGTTATTACCTTAGACAACAGAACCTTTAGGGAAACATATTCCATGAACCAAAAGAGAATCACTTTTCAAACTTGATAAAGCAAATCATTTACAATGAAGCCGTACTGTGACTCTTCACAGGCTACGATAATACCCATTGCCAGTAATGGTGTGGAGAGGTAGATCCTGGAGTGAAAAATGGTGCAACATTACTGGAGAGTAATTTAAAAATACCTCTCAGGAACCTCAAAAATGTTTCTGTCTTTGACTCGATAATTCTACTCCTAAGAATCTAACCTAGAAAAAAAAAAAAGATAGGAATGAATAACTTGTTATGTTATATATGTAACAACTCAAATATTCAAAAAAGAAACTATTAAGTAAAATATACCCACATGAGGATTTTTAGGCTATCTATATTCATGCAAGTAAAGAATTACAAATGACTTGATAAAATAATCACAGCAGAATAAAGAATATATATACTGTATAATCTCAATTTTGTAAGTTAAAATCATGTAGATACCTGTATCTATTTACGACAGGAAGAAATATAAAAGTATCTCTGGTTTGTCGAATTTCTGTTTTTCTATGTTCTCTAAATATTCTACAATAAATAATTATTTGTTTACAATAGAAAATATGTTATTTAAAGTAACATATCTGAGAACAATTAGGCCTCTATAAATCAAGAAATTAAAGAAAAGCATGAAATCTAAACAGTCTTTAAATGAAATAGAGAAGACTACTTCCCTGTATTAGTATTATTTAGTTTAATTAATGTTTTGGCATTGATTTGAATTATTTAAAAGGCTTGGGGTTATCTCCGAAAATATTAATCATTCTATAATATTTATAAATATTAGAGAATAGAATGTTAGACCTAATATGTTTCAGGGGAATGACAGAATATTCCCTGGAATTGTATATATACATGGTTATGTTTTAATTGCTATTAATAAAGTTACCACTCCTGTAATTTTTCTGTCTCTCTTAAAAAAGAAATTCAATTAAAAAAATAATTGCGAGTCACAGTTATCTGGATTCTTGTTAATGAAAATTCTATCAAATGAAAATTAGAGAGTACCTGTATATAATAATTTCCTATACTACTGAGGCACTGAGCATGACCCTCAGTACATATCAGATCTTGGTGAAAATTCCAATTTACTCGCTTGCTAACTGTAGATCTTCACTTTGTCCACATTATTTCACCTCTACCAACCTCGGTTATCTCAGCTAAACAATGGAGACAATTGTTAAGTGTTGTTTTGAGTAATTCCTGGCATACCTGCGGCTAACACTAGAAAACCCAGGCTTTGCCCCCAGAGAACTTAATTTTGGGGACAAAATTTTAATGGAAAGATAGCACTGTGCAATTTAAAGAAGTGTCGTATTTAGAAGATAAAATATACTCTCACAGCAGCACAGAAAAAATTAGGTTTATGACAGAGTTCGTGAAAAAACAAATGGCTAAAATTGGAATTAGCAGACCAGAGGGTTTGTTCAAAGCTTGACTTGTTAGTTTGGCTTCTTTGGGGTTTTCCTGCCCACCCCCACCTGCCCCTCCACATTCCTCCTTTCTCCCCAGCAGAGTGAGGAATTGAGTTTTCTGGTAAACTCATTATTCTGATTCACCAATATTACCATATTCCAAAGACTGTGGACACATTCCCAAATAACTCAAATCTTTTAATAAAATGTTCCTTATCTGAAAGTGCTCCAAACATAATCTTAGATTGTGAATCACAGATTGTATCTGAATCTCTGTAGATTCAAACAGTAGCTCAAGATCTTACAGGGTCTCAGGTTGTCCATTTGAACATTGCTGGCATTAAACAGTAAATGAAACCCTGGTCGTTTTCATTTTATGGCTCTCTGTGTCCTTTTGGAGTAAGAGTTTGTGCCAACAAATGTTATAATGACAGCTATTGAAAAAAGAGGGGCGCCTGGGTGGCTCAGTCAGTTGGGCGGCTGCCTTCAGCTCAGGTCATGATCCCGGGGTCCTGGGATCGAGACCCAAATTGGGCTCCCTGCTCAGCGAGGAGCCTGCTTCTCCCTCTCCCTCTGCCTGCCGCTCCCCCTGCTTGTGCTCTCTTTCTCTCTCTGTCAAATAAATAAATATAAATCTTTAAAAAACAAAAAAACAAATTACAATACTTTGGGAATCTTCTGTACTGGTCAAAAACAAATTGGGGCAGATTTTGCTGGGCACGGTGACTATGTGAATATACATAGAGGACTTAGATATTTTAAATGACCCTGTTTTGGACAGTTGCCTCAAAAAATGAATAAAAATCAAATACCGTGGTATTTTTATTTGGGGTATTTGTGTTGTAAATGTACACACTGACCTTTAGAAAGTCAGAAATCTCCAGGACTTGGGCAAATAAATAGGACATAGCAGAACAAATCTTAAATCCACGCCCCTTGTCTTTACAGTGTTAGAGAAGATAGAAAGTAGTTAGGGAACTCAAGAGGAAGAAAAAAAGGAGACAATACAAATAAAATATTCAGAAGTCTGTAAAGAAATTAATTTTAAGAAGGAGAATCAATATGAAAAGCTCAGTGTTGTTTGGCACTGATCTTTCTGACTTTTTTTAGCCCTGGGCAGAGGGACAATGTTGATAGAAGAGGAGCTAAAGCATTCACTGCTGGCATCTAGATGTATATTTTGGTCCAAGATTGTGGGAGTTAATCGTCCAGGGGGAGAAAAAAGATAGCATTTGGTTTTGGCAGAGAGAGCTGTAGAGTTTGCAAAGTGGTGGGCCTGGACAATGGAAACATTGGTTCAAAGGTGGAAGGTAGAAACTAAAACCAAAGAATCCAAGGGTTGAAAGAGATTTGAGAGATCTTGTTGATTTGTAAGAGGTAAATGGGGTAATCAACCCACCAGGTCTGCACTAGTTGAAAAATTTCTCGTTAGTCATTCCCAATCTCTCTTAGAATCCAGCTACAGATATTAAAAGAATAACGTCCAGCTAAGTTTTGCAATATGTTGGACGAGAATCTCAAGAACAGTCTGCTAAAGATAGATCAATTTATTCACTTTAATTTAAGCATAAATGGCACACATCATTTTGTAGAGTGGAAGAAGGCATCAGAAAACTAGATATTTTAATAAATCAACACACAGTTGTCTCCTCGCTGATGACTTAGCATTCCCACATTTTATTTATTTTTTTTAAAGATTTTATTTATTTATTTGAGAGAAAGAATGAGATAGAGAGAGAGAGCATGAGGGGGGAGGGTCAGAGGGAGAAGCAGACTCCCTGCTGACAGCAGGGAGCCCGATGCGGGACTCAATCCTGGGACTCCAGGATCATGACCTGAGCCGAAGGCAGTCGCTTAACCAACTGAGCCACCCAGGCGCCCCCCACATTTTATTTTTTTTAAGTAGGCTCCACACTGGTTGTGGAGCCCAATGCAGGACTTGAACTCATGACCCTGAGATCAAGACCTGAGCTGAGATAAGAGTCTCACGCTTAACTGACTGAGCCACCCAGGCACCTTGAGCATTCCCATATTTTAAACTATTGTTAGACCTTGGTAAATTCTAGTCAGCTTCATCCTTAATCATTATACTTAGTATCACAGAACTTGAAGGTAACCTGGAGATCACCTAGTCCAAACCCTCAGTTTTATCCATGAGCCCAGAAGTTTATAATTGCCCGACTCATAGATGTTCCCCTGAGCCACAAATGCTTTATGTCCTAAACAGAGCTCACTTTGGCACAGAAAATGTGTTCCTTTTCGTATACCCTTTATTGCAAATAATAGTGAAAGCATTCTCCTAGTTGTCTTAACTCCTTTCCTTAATCCCAAATTTTTAAAATGAAAATTAAACAAATTTTGAGCTTTTTCTCTAAATTCCTGTAACATATTGCATACATCAGTGTCTTTCGGATTTTTATTATTGAAGTATAGTTGACAAACATTGTTATATTAGTTTCAGATGTTCAACATAGTCATTTGACAATTCTCTACATTACTCAATGTTCACCATAATAAGTGTAGTCACCTTATAACATTATAATATTATTGACTCTATTCCCTATGCTGTACTTTTCACCTCTATGACTTCCTTGTTTTGCAACTGGAAGTTTGTGCCTCCTTCATCCCAAATTTTATCATCTTCACTCGTTCATCCACCCATTTATCCATCACAGTTTATTTGGCAATGACTATGTAAAGACACTATGCATGGCTCTCTGGACATCAAGATTAAGTAGAATACAGACTCTGCTTTCCAGACCTCAGACAGAAAAAAAGGCTGATCTGGGAGATCCAGGTAAATCAAGCATTACCCTCCATTGATCCTTCTGGTAGAAGCAGGGACCTTCTCTTCTGTTAGAGAACAATAGTGGAAGGGGGATGGATGAGTTTAGTTAGATTTTAATTGTTGACTTCAACTTTCTACAAGGTGTTCCAAACCAAGCAAGTGAAGAAATGTTGTTGTGCCATTTTAAATGCATTTTTTTGAAGATCTTATGGTTTGGTTTATGGTCAAAGTAGTTTTGCTGGCATCTTCAACTTGCTTCTACATGTTCTTACTTCTTACCTGTGCCTGCCTGAATGACCTTCAACTGTCTATCCATTCATCCTGGGGCTCCTAGTTCTCAAAGTTGAAAAAGAAAGCATGAACATAAAGGGCTGGTATCCAAGATCTATAAAGAACTTCTCAAACTCAACACCTAAAAAACAAATAATCAACTCAAAAAATGGGCAGAAGACATGAAAAGACACTTCTCTGAAGAAGACATACAAATGGCTAACAGACACATGAAAAAAAATGTTCATCATCATTAGCCATCAGGGAAATTCAAATCAAAGCCACATTGAGATACCACCTTACACCAGTTAGAATGGCAAAAATGGACAGGGAAAAAAACAACAAATGTTGGAGAGGTTGTGGAGAAAGGGGAACCCTCCTACACTGTTGGTGG